TGAGATATCGCCCTCTATGTTTCCTTCAGGTTTCACGACAGCATCGGTCACTGCTGGTTGCGATGGTGTTTCCTGTGTTTTGATCTCGGTACTTTGCAGTTTAGCAGCTGCTCTCTTCAGCTGTACTTCCCTCTCAATTCGGTCGACTGAACGATGGCGACAATCACACAGTTCCCGTTCTCACTATTCCATTCTTAGCGTGTCCATGAGTCGTAGAGGGTCAACAAAGCCATCACCGTCATGAGCTCGACCCTCACCAGAGATCGACTTACTTTCCTGCCGGAGCCGTCCACTCTTGTGGCTTAATTCTTCCAACTCAATGGATCTGCATAAGCCCCATATCATTACGCATCAGTCGTTCCTCTGTTTAGTGAACAGTGATTACTTCACAACATTCAACTTCCGCTTTGCTGCGTCTCGTTTTGTGGCTTCCCGGCACAACTTGGTCTGCTTGTTAATGGCAAGTACTCGTGCGCCGATATTTGCAATTACCTACACAGGATCATCATCACTGAACCCCGGATCAAATTCGCTGCTCACGGTATCAAGGTGTGCCGCGGAGTCGTCCGCATCAGCACCTGGCTCATAGCACGCGTGATATGGCAACAGACGTTCGATGGCACTGAATGCGGCAGAGGTACCAAAACCTCGAGTAGTGGGTACCTCACTCTTCAACATCTTTGAAGGGCTCCATTGCCGCCGGCCAGTCCGCCCTAGCATTATGGACGCATTCTCTCAGATCAACTGCGGTCACCGACTCACCGCTATTCTAAAGAGCGGAGGGTCGTGCTCGAACGACAGTAGACAGTGTACTTACCAGAATATCTTTCCGAGTGCGGGCTATGTGCCGCTCGAAGTCAGATAGCCGCAACCAGAGCGCGCCGGGATTGGCAACCACTGAGATATGTTACAGCCTAATGACGCATCATAGTAAGAGGTCGACAGGACTTACACTCGTCTCCCTCGGTATCAGTATGAGTATCGATGTTGCTGCCTGAGGGGGGAATGTCTTCTACTCCTTCTTGTGATAAAGCC